ATAGTCTAGGCCTATAGCATTGGGTAGTTTAATCTGAAAAACATGCATCATATTAAATAAACTGATCACATGTTTTGTATGTACTCTAGTCTGTAAAGTAGGTATAGCTGTTAAATAAATGTAGTGAACTGAAAAATATACTCCCTCTGAAATATACTGTAGTAGAAGAATTTAAGGGCAGAAATTTTAATTATTTAAGTAAAGTATACATACATCAAGATTTACAGTAGTTGAGTAAATGTTCTTAGATACATTACAATCCTGCAGAAATCTCAATAAACAACAACACAGTAATAATGTGGTTTGTTTCCAGCTCAAACTATGGCAGCCCAGATGCAACCATGTACTTTATCTATAATGTCTTTGCAGGTCGCTATGAGAATGTGTGCTCCAGCTGCAGTAACAGCTATAACCTCTGGGTGGGAGTCTCCGCTTGAAGATCCCAGCAGCCTGGGCCTGCTTCTTAATCTTCCACCAATCTGAACATTATTACTCAAGTCAAGTTAGTTCTATAATAATACATTATTACAGCTGAACATAGATCACTTCCTAACAATAGACCCGGTTCGGTATTAGGGTGATTATATGTATGTTTAAGTCAAAATGATAAAATCTCATAATATCATATATTTCTTGGGTCAAAATCTGATCTTTCTTGTGAACTATGTCTCTTCAGTGTCTCTCAGATGTTGCAATGTAGTGTAACTATGTAAATGTATTCTGTCTGGCTTTGATTTGATTGACAGCTATCCCCCAAACTCTCAGGGAGAATCCAGAGGGTTATTATACAGGGTGCAGTGAGCAGTGAAGAGTAATTTTGCCCCCAGGAGTGGAAAGGCCATGCAATTTACATGTCCAACTGCATTGCTTATAGCGAGCTCAGTAGCCAATGAGATCTTAGCTTTTTAAGATCTTATATCTGTTATCTTCACACACAATCTGACATATTTGACTCTCACAAGGGTGTATGTTCATGTATTTGCATATACATGTACACTCAGAATGCATGTACACATAAACAAGGTTATACTATTTTCATATTTTGGTGTTTTATATATATTTTATGTCGCATTCTCACCACACTAAACCTTAGAAACACCTTGTTCCTCCTCCCTCCCCTCCCTTACCCTCTCCCCATTTTCCATTTTTTCTTTTTTTCCCTCTTGTCCTTGGGAATTCAATCATGGAATAATATTGCTGGAAACCTTTCCTCTATGTATTCATGTAACAAGGGCTGGGCTAGTGGGTGTTATTGTATGTCCTTGAAATGATGTAGATGCTATCAGTTTCACTGCTGGCTGTGAATGTTGAACATGTGAATGAGGTGGAAAAAAAGATGTATGACTGTACGTGAAAGTTACAGCAGGCATGGTGACGACGAGTTGTGGGAGGTGTTGAGAGTTTAAAATAAGGCAATCTGCCCATTTGTATGGCCTCCTTGTGCCTTTTCTATTGTTGCCAAAGTCAGGCTCGTAGATGAGGATTTAGATGAACAATAGCAAACTGATATAATGAAACCAAGGAAAGGGAAAATATGGCTGACATGAAGTAAAATAAACATGTGTCAGCATGTATTAATAGTTGACTGCAGTTTTTTAGCATGACTGGCTCTCTAAATTCAATATCCACCTCTTGTGTGAAACTTTAAGCCTCTAAAAGCACATGTTAAAGCAAATTATTCTTTTGACGACATGAGAATGTCGAATGAATGGCTTCACGTATGTTTTAGAGATATTAAAAGAAAGGAAAACCTCAGAAATGGATACAGTGTTTTGGAAACAAATTATAGTATAGTACAGAAATCTTTCAGGCCAAAGTCATATGACAAACATGATAAATGAGCATAATTCCCCTCCATGGTCTCATATTGTTTCCAGACTGACCCAAAACAAGTCTCAGTGACACCTCTTGACCTCAAGGCCCCTCCCCCCTGGGCTCCCATAGTCAATCATGTATTACATTGTGCATTAACCTGCCATTGACCTCTGTATGCTAAACCCAATTGCTATATTATCTTCAACGTAATGTTCTACTCTTAGTTATCTTCCTAGGACTGAATCAGATTTTTTGCCCCACTTCACCCTCAGGCATAAAAAAAATGTCTCAAATGACTACTAGGCCCTTTGGAAGGATGGGGGTTGGTTGCCTCATCTAAATCACCAAAAATGGGATCCGAGGTATAGAAGCTGCATCAGTAAAGAGGACAGAGGACATTTTTTTTCTCCTGCTGGAAAGAAGTTTCTGGTTGGGGTGTGCGGATATTTTTTCTATTAGAAAAAGTGAATTTTTAAAAATGCAGCTCTTCTGACACCTGGCACTTTTAATATCTCTAATTATCTCTTACTGGCTTGAGCAATTACTTCTTTTGTTATAACGACCAAATACGCTTGACCAATGCTCCCACAAATGTGTCTACTTATTCTGCTAATACCAAGAATAATGATAATCCTGTGATAATGTTTTGAAGTCAAAAATAATGCTAATGCCTCTAATGATGAAGCATGCTTATAAATCCCTCCCCGTCGTCCCATTGTCTCCCGTGGCGGAGGAGCTGGCCCCCGCAGCCCCATGGGAAATCTGTAATGTATTCAGCCAGGCCTTGGGAGTAAAATGAAAACAAATGTGGTGTAATAAAGGAGAGAAGATGAAGCGATTCAGTGATGATGCTTTCCACCAGCCTTATAAATCAAAATAAAAGTGGAGCAGGTCATATGTGCCCCCACCCTTACTGGGTACACACACACACGTGCATATAAATATATATATGTATGTATAGACATACACACACTCACACACACTCGCATGCATGCATACTAATACAGAGGTGAGAGAAGAAGAAGAAGGCAGAAGAAAGTACAAGAAAGCTGTATACTATTTATTTGTAGCATACCGTTACAGTTTCATGTAACATAACACGTTTTATTCCCATGTTGCTGTTGCTTTTTGTGTATGCATATCAGTCAGGATTCATGTTACATAAATACAAAAGAATGGTAATTCTCTCTACATGTGCAATCCAAATTTTGCCCAGTTATGACCAAATTCCTTAATGACATATTGGATTTAAACTTCACTTATACAGTAGCATGACTCTCAAAAGTGTAAAACAATAAAAACTGATATTTTACCAACCTTTAAAACAAAGCAATTTCTGCTTGTGACCCATAGTCACATTTGCATATGATTATATTACCAAGTCAACCGCAGAGTGATTTTGTGTGTGTGTGTGTTTTAGTGTTTTCCTGCTTTATTTGAATATTTTTAGAGGCCTGAAGAGGTAAAATAAATTAACATCATTCTGTGCAGTATTTTTCCTGCTTTCCCACCCTGTTAATCATCTCATGACCCCTCAGATTCATCTTGAGGCTTATTTGACGGTCTCAACCCCTAGTTTGTAAACCACTATTACTGTAATTAAAAACTAATGAAGCTGATGGTGATGGTAGTACAGCCCTCCACCTGTAGGGGCTGCTGTGGTGTCAGTGTACTTACTGTATGATGCCAACAGTCCCAAACAGGAGAGACAGGAGGCTTGCTGATGGTACAGTAGTGGCTGCACTCATTATACAGAAAAACCCAAAAATTAAAATGGAACAAAAAAAAAGCAGCTGCTTATCTTGGCCCAGATTTTAAGCAAGCAACTGAAGACTCAAATTTATTGACAGGGGATTGGGGTTGATTTGAAAATTGTCACTCTCATATATGCATGGTGTGTTAGGTTTTAAGGTCAATAATGAGAGGTGAGGTTGTTGTTTTTTCTTTAGGATTCTTCTGCATTAGGATT